CCGCCCGGCCAATCGGCCCCGCCCGCCCGGCCCGCCCGGCCAATCGGCCCCGCCCGCCCGGCCCGCCCGGCCAATCGGCCCCGGCGGCGGCGGCCGCGCCGGCCGAGCCTCCCCCGCCGCCCCCGGCGCGCCCCTCACACGAGCCTGGGGCCGGGCCAGGGGCAGGCACGTGGCAGCGGCTGTGGCCGCGGTGACCCTGCACAGCCCCTGGTTTCACAGAATCGCTTAGGGTGGAAAAGACCGCGGGGGTCATTGAGTCCAACCACCTGCAGTCTTTCCTTAAACACATCCAGAGAGGGTGACTCCATCACCTCCCTGGGCAGCCCCTTCCGATGTCTAATCACCCTTTTTGGAAGAAATTTCCCCTAACTTCACAGAATCACGGAATTTACTGAGTTGGAGAGACCCACTCCCGGCCCTGCACTGGTCCAGCCTAACCCTGTGCCGGTCTAAGCCGTGTCCTCTCGTCCCGACGCTGGTCGTCCGGGAGAAGAGCCCGACCTCCACCTGGCTACCGCCTACTTCCAGGCTGGATTCGGCAGCTGGAAGCCCGAGGGCCAGGACAGCCAGGCTGTGCCTGCAGCCGCTGCCCAAGAGGCTTCTGGAAACAGCAGTGATGCCCTTATGCAACAAATATCTGAAAGATTTAAAGCACAATTGTGTGCACTGCTTCGAAGCAGCTGTTTCCATGAGCAGAGCCCTGCCACCTCCTCACGCTGATCCATGTCCGATCAGGATTTTAAAGGGATCATTTGCTCCATGCTGTGCTACTGCCAGTCTCTGACCTATGATGCAATTTGGGAAATCAGATGGCTCTGATTACAAAAGCCTTTGAAACATGCTGACACCTGTGCTGTCTGCTGGAGACCAGAGTACTCGAAAATAGACGCATGAGAGAAAAGTGAGAGCCAACACAATTTCCACAGGAGCTTAAGGAGGTCGCTGTCAAGTTTGTCCTATAAATTTTTGAGGTAAATAAACTTTTGTTTTGTTGGGGTGAGGTTTTTGGTTGCTGCAAAACCTGGCCAGAAAAGCAGCAATAATACCTCTCAGACCTCTCACTGTACCACTCTATTTGTAGAAGAAGGGGTTAGGTGAACATGGCAGCACGTGCCAGATCATTCTGGTTTCCAGATGTGTGGTGTCCCACTCGGCACTTAGAATGGAATTTGGGGGAATCTTTTGGGGATAGCAACGGTGTCATCTGTCACTACAGGTTGTTCTCTGGTTCCCCTTTGTCCTCAGTGAGACAGGAAAAACAAAGCTCTCCTGCCAACTCTTCTGGCATTGGGCAAGAGCAGCAGTTCTGAGCACAAAGGATTCATACAGGGGTATCCAAGCTAGCACAGTGAATTACTGAGAACAAAACCAGCATATTATCTGTAAAACAGGTATTGCTATTTACAGAGCAGCGCCAGTGGGATCTTCTCAGAAGTGTCAGGGTCCTACATCATATGGAGGCACGAGTGCTGGGAGACAATTTCTGCCCCATTGAATTGGCAGTGAAAGGCCAGCATGGAAATGATAAATGCTTCATGGTGAGCCCTGATGTGCAGTAGAACTGCTCTTATCTTTAAAAGGCTTTGGAAGGCAAGTGGGAGGCATCTGGAGAGGCAGCAGGAAAAAATGAGGCAGCAAGCATAAGAATAGCTTTGTGAGAAGGCAGAAGGCTCGAAGACAAGAGGAACAGGTCAAGGCACAGGGCAGGGATGATGGGCTGCAGTGCAGCATTTGGTGCTTTGAGGGGCCTCTGATAACACTAGGAGGACAGGAGGCAAAAAAATTCAGGAACAGGAAAGGCAGGAACTTCTACTATGCAATATTTAGTTTTGACTGGAAACAGTAATTTGGACTTTCCCCTCATAAGTTTTTTTCCCCCTAAAGGATGAGTTAAGTATTCCTAGATTCCAGCTCCCCTAACAAGGAATTTCTGTTCCTGCAATGTTCTCTCTCTCTTCTGTCCTACTGCCTCTGTTTTTGCTACTTCGTCAAGTTCCTGACCTTTCCCTCCTTTGCCTTCTAGTCTACTTTATTTTTTCTCCTTTTAATTGAAGTTCATTAATGATTTGCACATATTTTTTCCATTATTATTTCTCTCCTGCTGCCTCTTCCCTTTTTCACTCATCTTTCCCGCATGTTTCCATCTTTAAATTCTAAACCCTTCATCTGGGACTGTCTTCTGTGACTGGAAAACAAACCAAACTCCTGGGGGCAGGGGCAGGCTGGTTGTCTATGTGCTGTTCTGCCCAGCAATGCAACTGAATAAACAGCAGCTGGAATTCTGGTGGGGGGCAAAATAAATGTCCATTTTAATCTCCATGGATAATATCTCAGACCAAGCTGTAAATTCAGGGCAAACTGATTCTGAACACTATGCTCTCATCAGCACCTGATGTTAAAAGGTTGGAAAATTTACTCTTACACCATGCTTTCTATCCCTATAAGTGAAGAATTCTTCCTTATGGTACACTCCTGGCTAATTGTCTGTATAATCTGGGTCTTCTGGCAGGTCAGAAGAGACCAGAAAACACCCTGTGGCTGTGGTGAAGTGGCCATTATTTTAACACTAATATTCAAATAACTGGCAACAGCTGTAATTTCTCACAGCACTTTTCAAAGGCAGCCCTTCAAAATCAGGTGAGCTACTCTGTCACCCTTGCCATGGCCATTTGACTGCCTGTGCTCATGGATAGCTCTGGATAGTCCAGCTCTCAGTGTGGACATTGGTGATAAGAGCTGCAGCTCACTGAGGATGTTTTTTCCTTGGACTGGGAATCAAATTTAAGTTCAGGCCCTTGCCTTAGCCATGCTGTGGGTGTGCCCATGCCTGGCCTTGTACCTCACTGATCCTGTGCTTCCCTGGCTGATGGATCCTTTGTCTTGACCTTGAACCTGGCTAGTCTCTAAGGTCAGGCTTGAACTGCAGCTGACCCCTGTTGCTGTCCCCAGCTGGCCTGGTTCTCCTTAGGTACTATGGAGCTGTCAAGGAGGTCCCTGCCTGCCTCAGCATCCCCCTTATCCCCAGCCCTGGTGGAGCAGCCATGCTTCTCCCTGCTGACAAGGGCTGCACATAGTCCTCAGGGTGTGGGTAAAATGCAGCTTTTTTCTTCCAGAGAAATGTGCTTTTTGGCACTCTTGCCAGGTATTGCCCTTGCATAAATACTTACAGTGTTAACACTGAAACATGACTGAGCAAGCTAATAAGCATTCTGTTTAGAAATAATGAATAAAAATATTGGGTTTGACACTGCTCAAATTACGTGCAACATTTAATTCCCAAGCTCATGCTCTATACTTTTATGGGAGATGTGACAAACCTTCTGTGCTCAGACTTTGACATATGGCAATCTTGTTTCCTCTGGTTATCCTACTCAATAAGTTTCTATTTCATTTGGGACTCGTGGTTTACACAGTGACAGAAGGCGTTCTGAAACAGAAGGGCTGTGGTGTAGCTTAAGCACATTGCCAGGACTGCCCAGATCAAACTGCAGTCTTTGAACCAGTTCTCACTTGCAGGAAAGGCGGGAGTCAGATGTACATCTGCTCCCACAGGATTCCTCTCAATTCAGATGACATGGCTTGCTTCTGTCCTGGTGAAGATGGAAAATAAACTCCTGTATCTAAATACTGTGCTGGGAAGGTCAGATCAAGAGCATACCTAGGGGATTTGCTGTTGTCATTAAAACTGAAGTCAGCTTTCATTCCTTCGTAATCCCAGGTGTGGTGGGTGCACCCCGAGCACGGCCCCTCCTCAGCGAGCAGTGCCAGCACTGCTCGGCAGTAGCCAAACCACTCTTGTGTTTTCAACACCACTCAAGCTACAAATACAAACCACAGCACTACTGAGGGCTACTACAAGAAAGTTAACTAACCCAGTACACTGAGTTTTCTAAAGTAAAAGAAAATGGTTGAATTGTTTATCCTGACTTCAAATGGCTTTGGAGTATTCAAGCAGTTTATTTGGAAACAGAAAAAAAAAAAAGAAAGGTTTGGCTGAGCTTTTTGTGCCCCTAGTGAAGAATATGCTTTCTTAAATGCAGGGAAAAGTGACTTAAAACAGAATGTTCCTAGCCCTTCACATTGTGTCTTTGTCATTCTCCAATTACAGTATACTAGCTGTGTAAATTGAATTTCTCCTTGAATTTTTCCACCCTAAATTATTGTATGATTCTATTAGAAGTATCGTAAGTTAGAAGTTGTGATACTTCAAAATATGAGGATGCCGTGGATGGTAACTTAGTGTTAGGAATATGCAATCGAAAGATCTGATTTTGGGGATGGTTGCACAGCAGCACAGCTGATTTTGTTTCAGTATCATAGCTTCAGTTTTACAAAGATAATATTCCAGATCAGAATTCAGTCATCTGCCTGCTGAGAAGAACCACGTGATTATTTCTGCCTTGATGATTAAAGAATATTCCTAATGATTTTTGAAGAGCTGTTGTAATTCGACAGCAGGAAATTATTGTGGCTTTTGAATATGCAGCAAATATTTTAAAGCAGGCTTTTAAGTGGTTTCCGTGGCAACCACTCTTCTTTAGAGATCAATGCATGCTATTAAGTATCCTGCTGGACACGGATCAGCCTTGCAATATTAAAGGCACTCGTTGCCAGCGCTGCTGGGTCATGCGCAGCGCCCAGCAGCCCGGAGCTCGGGGGGAAGCTCGCTGCCTGCCAGGCATTTTTCCAGACGAGCAAGGACACACCTCTTGGTGCTGAGCTGGCATAGGCGTCCGGAGGGGTGGAGGAGCTGGCCATGCTCACATT